CGCTGACCGGCGGCTTCGAGCTCCGGTGCGCGCGCGCGGCCGACGGGTCGTTTGACGTGTAGAGCCGCGCCGGCGACGCAATCGTGTCGCACGCCGCGGGCGAGACTTTGGCCCCGGTCGCGCGCGCGCCGCTTCGACGGAGGACGGTCGTTTGGACGCAGGCGCCCTCGGGCTCCGCGCGCCGTCCTCGGAGCTTCGTCCCCGGGAACCGAGCCGAAAAGCCGCCTCGACGCGAGCCTCGACGGCTTCGCCGGCCGGCGACGCCGCGCCGCGAGTCGACGCGCCGCGATCGGCGACCGCCGTACGGCGCGCTCCTGCGCTTCTTCGAGCGCAAGACAGTGGAAGTACCTCTCCGTCGGAGCGCGGAGCTCGCGGCGCTGGCGTCGCCGACCCGCCCGGCCCCGCGGCCGCGGCCCGCGTCGGTCGCCGTCGAAGCGCGTCCCGGAAGGTCCCTCGCGCGGACCGTCGTTTCCATCGCGACGTCCCTCCTGGGCACCGTCGTGCCCCGGGACGCGCCGCTCATGTCCGCGGGCCTCGATTCCCTGCGCGCCGCGGACCTCGCGCGGAGCGTCGGCGCCGCGGTCTCGACGGAGGTCCCCTCGACGCTCGTCTTCGATTACCCGTCGGCGTCGGCGATCGCAACGGCCTTCGCCGCGGCACCGGACCGAGCGGAAAAGGCGATCGTGAGTGCGAGTGCGACGCCCCCGCGCGCGCCGGCGGCCCCGAGGCCCGCGAGACGCCGCCTCCGCCCGCGCGGCGCCGCGTTCGTCCTCCCCGGCGGCGCGTCCGACGCCCGAGCGCTCCGCGCCGTCGTCGCCCGCGCGGCCTGCTGCGTGGCGGTGGCGCCGCCGTCGCGCGGGGCGCCGGCCTACGGCGCGCTCGTCGCCGCGGCCGCCGTCGACGGCCGCGCGTTCGGCCTCGCGCGCGCGGAGGCCGCGGCGATGGACGGGCAGCAGGCGCGCGCGCTCGCCGCGGGCGCCGCGGCCCTCGCGGACCACGCGGCCCGGGCCGCGCTCCGCGGCGCGGCCCTGGGCTTCGTCCTCGGCTGCGACGGCGAGTTCGCGTCCGACGCGGGGGGCCCGGGCGCGGCTCCCGCGTCGCCCTACGCGGCGACGTCGAGGGCGCTGTCCGTCGCGTCCGGCCGCTGTTCCCACGCCCTGGGCCTCGTCGGGCCCTGCCTCGCCGTCGCGACGGCCTGCTCGTCGGCGCTCGTCGCCGCGCACGTCGCCGCGGCGCTAGCCGGCGCCGCGGCCGTCGTCGCGGTCGGCGGCGTCGCGGCGGGCGTCACCGCGTCGTTCGCGGCCGCGGGCATGCTCTCGCCCCGGGGCCGCTGCCACACGTTCGACGGTCGGGCCGACGGCTACGCGCGGGGCGAGGGCGCCCTGGGGACCGTGCTGGCGGCCTACGCGGACGGCGTCGCGGTCGCGGCGTCCGCCGTGCAGCACGACGGCGCGTCCGCGTCTCTCACGGCGCCCAACGGGTCCTCGCAGCGGCGGCTCATCGCCGCCGTCGCGCCGAGCGACGACGGGGCGCTCCTCGAGGCCCACGGCACGGGCACGGCGCTCGGCGACCCCGTCGAGGTCGCCGCGGCGGCCGCGGCGCTCGCGGGCGTCGCGTTCGAATCCGCCAAGGCGAACCTGGGCCACCTCGAGGCCGTCGCCGCGTTCTCGGGCCTCGCGGCGCTCGTCGTCGCCGGGTGCCTCGCCGACGCGGCGCCGAACGCGGCGCTCCGGCGGCTCAACGCGCACCTGTCGCCGACGCTGCGCGCGCGCGGCCGCGCGATGGTCGCTTTGACGCCGCGGACCTCGGCGGCCGCGCGGGGCCGGCTGAGCTCCTTCGGCTACAGCGGCACCATCGCCCACGCCGCCTTCGCGCACGACCACGGCACGGCGGCCGCGCGGGCGGGGGCGGGCCCGCGCGCGAGCCTCTACCGCGGGGCCGTCGCTCGATCGGCCGCCCGCGTCCGCGCGGGCGTCGCGCGGCGGCGCCGGGCGCCGCCGACGCGGGGGGGGGGCTGGGTCACGATGGTCGTCGCGGCCTCGACGGCGCGCGGCGGCCGCCGCCGCGTCGTCCGCCGGGCCGCGCGCCGCGCCGCGCCGCGGTTCGGCTGGCGGGACGTCGCGGCTCTCGCTGCGGGGCTCGTCCTCGCGCGCCGCGCCTCGTGCTTCGACGCGCGCGTCTCGTCGCGCGGCGTCCCGCGGCTCGACGTCGCACCGAGGCACCCGCGCCGCCTCGAGCTCGCTCGACCGCGGCCCGAGAGACCCGACGCCCCGCGCGCCGCCGCGCCGCGGCGGCCCGCGGCGTCTCGCGGCGCGGTCGCCGCGTGCGCGTTCGAGCTCCTCGGCACGCGCGTCGCCTCGAGCGCGCCGCTCATGGACGCGGGCGTCGACTCGACCGTCGCGCCCCAGCTCGCGGCGGCGCTCCGGAAAAACTTCGACGTCGAAGTCGGCGCGACGCTCGTCTTCGACCACCCGACGCTCGACGCGATCGCCGACCTGCTCGGCGGCGCCGATGCGGCGGCGCCGGCGTCGACGCGCGTCGCCTCGCCGGAGCCGTCCGCGGCCCCCTTCGCGCTCTTCTCGCGCGCCGCGCTCGTCCCCGGCGGCGCGGCGCTCGCGACCTGCGCGGCGTCGACGATCCCGCCCGCGCGCTGGGTCGCGGCCCGGCGCGACGCGGCGGCCTACGGCGCGCTCCTCGACGCCTTCGCCCGCGTCGCCTGCGACCGCGGCGCCTCTGGCGTCTCCCGCGGCGAGGCGCGCGCCATGGACCCCCAGCAGGCGCTCCTCCTCGACGTCGCGACGCGACAACGCCCGCCCGGCGCCGCGGGCGTCTTCGTCGGCGTCGAGGCCGGCGGCTTTGCCGCCGTCGGCGCCTACGCGACGTCGGGCCACGCCGCGTCCGTCGCGGCGGGCCGCCTGAGCCACGCGCTCGCGCTCTCCGGGCCGTGCGCGTCCATCGACGCCGCGTGCGCGTCGTCGCTCGTCGCGCTCGTCGTCGCGGCGGCCATGGGCCCGCCCGTCGCCCTCGTCGCGGGCGTCAAGGCCCTCTCCGAAGCGGCGAGCGCGGCGACGGCGGCCGCGGGCATGACGTCGCCGCGCGGCCGCTGCCACGCGTTCGACGCGCGCGCGGACGGCTACGTCCGCGGCGAGGGCTGCGTCGCGCTGCTCGCGCGGCGCGGGGCCGGCACCGCGGCAATACTCGCGGCGGCGTGCCGCCACGACGGCCGGAGCGCGTCGCTGACGGCGCCCAACGGGTCGTCCCAGCGGCGGCTCCTCGTCGCGGCCGCCGCGCGGGGGGCCCGCGCGACCGCGCTCGAGGCCCACGGCACGGGCACGGCCCTCGGCGACCCCGTCGAGGTCGCCGCGGCCGCGGCGGTGGTCGTCGGCGCCGCGGCGACGGCCAAGGCGACGCGCGGCCACGGCGAGGCCTCCGCGGCGGCCGTCGGCCTCGACGCGCTCCTCGGCGCGCTCGGAGCCGGCGCGGCGGCGCGGTGCGCGGCGCTCCGGCGGCTCAACCCGCACCTGCGGGCGACGGCCTCGGCGTCCTTCGCCCTCCCGACCGAGGCCATCGTCTCGCCGGGCGCGCGCGGCGCGCGCCTGAGCTCCTTCGGGTTCAGCGGGACCATCGCGCACGCGGTCCTCGAAGCGAACGCGGTCGACGAGGCGCGCGCCGCGGCGCCGTCGACGCTGCGGTCCCGCGCGGCGCGCGCGCCGGCCCCGGAGCCGCGCTTCCTCGCGCGCGGCGCCTTCACGGGACCGGCCGAGGCCGCCGCGCGAGCGCACGTCGTCCGCGGCGCCGCGCTCTTCCCGGGCGTCGGCTACGTCGAGATGGCCCTCGGGAGCGCCCGCGTCGCGACCGTCCGCTTCCTGCGGCCCTGCTGGCACGCGCGCGTGCTCCGCGTCGTCGGCGACGGCGGGCGCTTCGAGATCTCGAGCGCGGACGACGGCGGGCGCGTCGTACCGCACGCGTCGGGCGCGTTCCTCCGGGGCGCGCCGCGGCTCCGACCGCCGCCGAAGCGACGCTTCGCGGTCGCGGTGGCGCGCGGCGATGCCTTCCCGAGCCAGGCTCGAGGGACCTTTGCGCGCGCGGTCGCGCGGCCTCGCCCCCGCGCGGCGCCCAAGTCCGCGGCCCGCGCGGCGCGGCGGCGGCGCGCGGCGCTCGCCTCCGGACGGACGCGCGAGGAGATCGTGGGAGCCGTCTCGAAGGCGCTACGCTCGCAGATCGGCGGCCTCGGCGCGCCGCCGCGTTCAAAAGCGACGCCGGCCGCGCTCGCACGACGCCCGACGCCGGCGCTTCGAAAGCCGACGCCTCCCTCGCTCCCGCGGCCGCGCCGCGCGGCGCCCCACGCGGTCGCCGCGCGTACCCCGACGCAAGCGGGGCAGCCGGCGGCCTCGATCGACGACGCGATCGCCGCCGCGGTCGTCGACTTTTTGGGCACGGCCTGCGATGCCGACGCGCCCCTTGCGGCCGCGGGCCTCGACTCCGTCGGCGCGGGCGAGTTCGCCGCGGCGCTCGGCGCGGCCCTGCGCATGGACCTGCCATCGACGACCCTCTTCGACCATCCCACGGCCGCCGCCGTCGCGAGACTCGCCGCCTCCGCGGCCGCGGCCGCGGCGCCCGGCGCCGGCGCCGTCGCGGAGGAGCCTGCTCGGGCGGTCGGATCTGCTCGAGAAGAGACCGCCGACGTCGCGCTCGTCCCGGCGCGGTCCCTCCACCTTCCCGGCTCGTCGTCGACCGCGTCCGAGCTCCCGCGCCTCTGCGCGACCGCGTCCGTCGCGTGCTCCCGAGCGCCCGCGACGCGCCTGACGTCGACGACGCCCGCGGAGACCTACGGCGCCTTCACGGGCCTGATGCCGAGCGCCGCCGCGGCCTTTGGGATCTCCAAGGCCGAGGCCCGGAGCCTCGACCCGCGCGCGGATCTGATACTCCGCTCCGCGGCCGCGACGCTCCGTCCCGTCGCGAACGCGCCCGTCGGCTTCTTCCTCGGCTGCGGCGCGCTCATGAACGACGCCGTCGGGACCGTCGCACGAGCTAGGGCGCCGCCGTCGGTCTACGAGGGGACGTCGAACACGCTGTCGGTCGCGTCCGGCCGCGTGTCGTACGCGCTCGGCCTCACGGGGCCCTGCGCGTCCCTCGACACGGCGTGCTCGTCCTCGCTCGTCGCGGCGCACGCCGCCGTGAGCGCGCTGCGCCTCGGCGAGTGCCCGCGCGCCGTCGCGACGGGCGTCGGACTGCTCTCGGCCTCGGCGACGGCCGCGTTCTCCGCGGCGGGGATGCTGTCGGCCCTCGGGCGATGCCACACGCTGGACCGGCGGGCGGACGGCTACTGCCGCGGCGAGGGCTGCGGATCGTTCCAGGTGACGACAGGAGCCGGGAGCGCGCGCGTCGACGGGATCGCCGTGCAGCAGGACGGCCCGAGCGCGTCGCTCACGGCCCCGAACGGGACGTCGCAGCAGCGGCTCCTGGTGGCGATCTCCTGGGCGTCGGCTCGAGCCGTAGCGCTGGAGGCGCACGGCACGGGCACGGCGCTCGGCGATCCGATCGAGATCGGCGCCGCCGCCCGGGCGCTGCGCGCGACCGGCGGGACCGCGCGGTGCTCTTCGCTCAAGTCGAACGCGGGCCATCTCGAGGCGGCGGCGGCAGCAGCGGGCCTGGCCGCTCTCGTCACCGTGTCGACCTCCATCGTTCCTCCAAACGCCCAGCTGCGGCGCCTGAACGCGCACGTTGGGTCGTTGGTCTCCGGAGAGGATTCGCGAGCGGAGCTCCCGATCGAGGCGACGGGGCGACGGGCGTCCGCGGGTCGGCTGAGCTCCTTTGGCTTCAGCGGGACGATCGCGCACGGTCTGTACGTGCCTGGCACGGTTGCCCGCGACCTTGTTGGTGCGTTGACCGCCCAGTCTCTCTTTCGTCGAGCATCTCAGATCGCGCGCGCGGGCGTCTACCAGACGTTTGGCGGCGCGTCGGCTGTGACCGCGGCCCCGGCACAGAAAGCTCTGCGCGGCGCAGCATATGCATACTCGCAGCCAGCACGAGTATATATCACGTCGCTGTACTTCCGCTCCGCGAGCATGGGTCTCGCAACCTCACCAAGCATGGCGACTCCCGTAGTACTCAGCCTGGCCAAGACCCGGACTCGTCCGCGGGCGAAGACAGTCTCGAGGATGCGACTCGCGTTCTTCCACGGCATGGACACGTACGCCGAGTTCCAGGTCGGCTCGCTGGCCTACCAGGTCTGGACGACGGCGCCTTTCGATTGGGTCACCGCGAGCGCGCCGCACCGAGGGGCGGACTTCTCGACCGGGGCCGGCGGCGGGTTTCTTCGGAAGAAATTCGGGTACGAGCCCCGCAAGTCCCGGTCTTGGCGCCTCCTCACTCAGTACTCGCTGAATAGCTCGAGTCAAGCGTCGATGTTCGCTCGCATCCGCGAAGCTACGGACCAGAAGGAGGACACGTACGGCACGAGCGACGGCTGGTCCGCGTCGGTGGCCTCGGTCAGGAGATTCGCGAACGAGCAAGCGCCGCTGGAGGGCTTCGCCGGTATAAGCGAGGGCGCTACCGTCGGCGCCGTGCTCCTCGCCGAGCATCTGCGTGGCATCATGGACTTTGGAGCTGGATTCGAGGGAAGGAGCTTGGTCGGCGTCTGCGCGCTCACGTCCCCCGCTCACGCGCGAATGTACGAGGACTCGATTGCCGCTTCGACGCTGCAGCTCGTCGGCAGCGCCGACACGTTGGACGTGCAGCACATGGGAGGCCGGACGGCCGCAATGTTTGGGCACGGAGCGAGCGTCGTGTCGTTCTCCGGCGGGCACAAGCTCCCGAGACTCGCGCCGCGCCTACGAGACTCGTTTGTCTACTTGACGTCCAGCGTCTCCCGCACGAGAATGCGAACGTCGACCATCATGGCCAGTGTGTGTCGCTCTCAGCGGCCCCGAGCCTCGTCGACGCTTGTGCCGCGCCGCGAGGCGGCGACCGCTCGTCCCGTGGATTGTCGTTACTGGCCGCGGCCCCGGTCTTCACGCGCCGAGTGGGCGAGCCAGCAGGCGCTTTGCCTGTTTGACGCCTCGGTTGACGATGTTCGCTTCATTCACAGCATCTCGGCTGCCCGCGCTCTCATTCTGCGCGGCGGCGATCTGAAAGACGCCTCCGATGCGACGCTTCCGATCCTGGCCATTCTCTAGCGAGGCTGTACCTGCTTCGGTGACTGGTCTGTTGGTATTCGATGCTTCCCCGAAGGAGCGAGCGCCGTAGCGTGCGACGAGTCGGACGCCGTGGACCAGGCGCGGCGCTTCGTGTCCGCGTTAGCTCGCGCGCGGAGTGGCGCCGCGGGGGCGACGCTCTCGTAGATGCGTTCCGAGCCTGAACCTCGGGCGCCTGCTCCGTCAAAGCATCGAATTACTACATGCTCGATCTCGGCGAGCAGCAGCGCTGTCGTGGCTGAACATCATTTCCACGAATGTCCGTCCGGAGTCGCCGCGCGCGGTCCCAGAGGCAGCATCTACTGCGCGCCCCTTTGGAGAAGAGAGAGATTCCATGCCACGGAGTGGAGAAGCGGCGGTATGATGCTCACCAACGATCCGCGGACGCCTCTCAGCAGCTGGACCGGGGCCCGCGCGGTCGTCGTCCTCGGAGACCCCGCTCGCTCGGCCCGCGTCGATGTCTGCTGTCCCGTGTTCTTCGTCGCCGCGCGCCACCTGAACGCAGCTGTTGATTTTACCTGCGGCGACACTCGCCTTGCGCTACTCTGTGCCGAATCATTCGAGCGGGCTGCGTTCTCTCGAGTCGCCGCTTGCTTGATGACCAAGACGCGAGCCGTCGCCGCCGCGGTCGAAGCGCGGTTCGAGTCGAGCCGAGGAGACACGTGCGATGCCGTGGAAGCGCGGGCACGGTGTGCAGTTGATCACATCGGCGCGCTCCGCCCGCCGACGCGAGACCCCGCAGCACCTGAACAATGGTCGCTGGCTGCGGCTCGAACGACCTCCATCGGAGCGTCGTACCTCGCGCCCGTTCGCGAAAGCACCGTCTCGGTCT